CTACCTATGTTAACAGTATCCTTTAAATAAAAAAATCCTACTAGACCAGATATGGTTGTATATGCCTGTAATCCCAGAAACTTGGGAATCAGAGAGTAGAGACCAACTCTGGAAAAGATTGCCAAACACAAAATAAATCAAAAGGGCTAAGGGCATGGTTCAAGTGGTAGTAGAATGGTATGGGAAATCCTGAGTTCAATCCCCAGTAATAGCAGCAACAGCTGCATCAACAACAGGAACTTACACAGGTTATTTTCCAGTCTGGAAACCCACAGGGGCTGTGGCATGGGGCCTTTCTAGAGTTAGGGAGAAGCAAATTTGCACTTCCTTGATGCATACAGAGACAGAAATTTTTTAAAAAAATCAGGATGCAACTAATAAAGGGCAATGGAGGTTTTTACTAACCACAAAGCCCCAGGAGAGGGGTAAACAAATCCCCAAGGAAGTCCAGTATCTTTTTCTTTGTTATTCTCACTTGCTCACTTGGATTTTATTTTTTGTTTGTTTTTTTTAAAAAAATTATTTTTTGTCAGTCTTGGGGCTTGAACTCTGGGCCTGAGTGCTGTCCCTGAGCTGGTCAGCTCAAGGCGAGCGCTCCACCACTTGAGACATAGCACCACTTTCAGTTTTCTGATGGTTAATAGGAGATAAGGTTATCATAGACTTTCCTGAGTGGGCTGGCTTTGAACCCTGATCCTCAGATTTCAGCCTCCTGAGTAGCTAGGATTACAGGTATGAGCCACTAGCACCTGGCTTCCTTGGATTTTAAATGCATTCCTTAGGTAGATGGCTCAGGCACCGATTGTAGCTTCCTGAGCTCCAGTCCTGGCAGCCACTGTATATTGGCACAAATGTGGCAAAGTTAACTTCACTTTCTGCTCCGAGCTGGGCAGGGCCATAGGATGACCCTTGAATGTCTTGTCAGGATGCTTGCGAAGATCTGGACATAGGATATGTCACCGTGTGGAAAGCAGCTGCAGGGAGACCAAAAGGCCCCACCCTGTGTCATTTAAGTCCTCCAGTGAGCACAACAGAAAACAAAGCACCACCTCTAAGTGACGTGTATGAAAGCTGGTATCAGCCCTAGAGTATTGGTGCTTATATGAACACAGGCTCGAACCCATTACACTAGAGTAACAGCTCCAGGTAACAGCTCCATTTTAAAAAATGGCTATCCCCGGAGGACTCACTCTGATGCTGGGTGTACTTGGTGAACCTTCCACTCAGCATTTACTCACTAAATTTTTGTGAAAGTAATAGATCTGTGGCCATCTTCAGCTAATATTAGTCATCAACTCAACTCCTGGATTTTTATTTGACTATTGAGTATTTTATTTTATTGGTGGGGTACTGGGGCTTGAACTCAGGGCCTCATGCTCTGCCTTAGCTTTTTCCTTCAAGGTTGATGTTCTACCATGTTAGCTATACCCTTACTTCTGATTTTTTGATGATTATGTGGAGATGAGAGTCTCACAGATTTGTCTGCCCAAGTTGGCTTCCAGCTAAGAGACTCAGAACTCAGCTTCTTGAGTAGCTAGGATTATAAGCATGAGCCACTGGTGCCTGGCTTTATTTTTTATTCTTTTGTTTTTGCAGGTCGTGGGGCTTGAACTCTGGTCCTGGGCACTGGCCGTCACCTCTTTAGCTCAAGGTGAGTGCTCTACCACTTGAGCCACAGTGCCACTTCCGGCATTTTCTGTTTATGTGATACTGAAGAATCGAACCTTCATGCACTCTACTCTGAGCCACCTTCCCAGCCCTTATTTTTTATTCTTGAATTAATATATGTTTGAAATATGAAGGAGTTTTTGTGGTGACATTTTCAAACATGCATATAGTGTACTTTGAACAAATTCACTCCCTCTATCCCCCATTTTTCAAATATTTTAGATAGATAGATGATTTGTAGATATACTTTGTATACCTATTTTATATCCCATACATAACTCCTTTTAATTAACTCCTCGCTTTTTATTAGACAAAAGTATCCTTTACCTCTTAATAATAATATAAAGAAATCCCTATCGATGTCTCCACATACCTCCCAATTTCAGGCTGTTAAGTCACTCCTATGCTTAAAACCTTTTAGCAACCTCCATCTCCTTCAGCTTCAAACTGAAGCTTTTCACCAAGAAAACTCTTCACCAAGAAAGCTCTAAGAATCCAGCCACTAACTACAGCTCTGGCCTTCTGTGAGGTTCTCCTTTGCTTGGTTCCTCTCTAGCCTGCCATCTTCTGCCTGGGGTTGGCACTGGTGGCTTCCTGTTTCTGCCATACACTCTCAACCACCAGCCACTTCTCACGATCTAGCTCAGACATGTCAGTCTCAGCAAGATGCTCCCTGCTCCTGCAGGAAATGCACCATTTTATCACCAGCACCCATTATTGTTTGTGGTGCCGCACAGTAGAAATGAACAGGGATTTTTGCCAGCCTGATTTGCTGTGTGTCTCTAGTACCTACACGTTCCCTAACAAGCTCTGTGGAGGGAAATGAATGAATGTTGTAAGGAATGGTCACTGGGACATGGACTTCGAGTTGACTTTCAGACAAGGAAGGGACCACAGTTTTCTGTCAGCATTTTCTCCTCAAGGGCTTCTGATAAGCCAGTGGGCCACTTTTACCAAGAGACTAGGTCATCATTTGGGACACAGAAGGAAAGAATGGAACAGAAAAAATAAAGATTAAAAACACAGGCTTGGCTCATAAAAGAAATGCAAATCAAAACAACATTGAGATACCACCTCACCCCAGTTAGAATGGCTATAATCAAGAACTCTAATAACAACAGATGCTGGAGGGGACGTGGACAGAAGGGAACTCTACTGCATTGTTGGTGGAAGTGTAAACTTGTTCAACCACTTTGGAAAGTAGTATGGAGGTTCCTCAAAAGACTCCACATAGAGCTCCCCTATGACCCAGCAATCCCACTTTTGGGCATTTACCCAAATGTTCACAAACAAGACCACACTAAAGCTACCAGCACAACTATGTTTATTGCAGCATTATTTACCATAGCTAAGATCTGGAACCAACCCAGATGCCCCTCCGTAGATGAATGGATCAAGAAAATGTGGTATATATACACAATGGAATTCTTTGCCTCCATCAGAAAGAATGACATTGCCCCATTTGTTAGGAAATGGAAAGACTTGGAAAAAATTATATTAAGTGAAGTAAGCCAGGCCCAAAGAAACATAGGTCCCATGGTTTCCCTTATTTGCAATTACTAGTATATGTCTGAGACAAGCAGAAACGGTCACATAAGTTGATGTTGGGCAAAATGAACCCCAAGATAAGGACTCAAATGTTTTTTCTTTCTTGCAATTGTTTCTAACATATCTATAAGATGATTTGTTGCATTGTATGTCCCCCCCCCCCACGGTATAACCCTTGCTTTCACTGTATTTGATGTTAGTATAATTTGTGAGGGGAATGGAAAAAACAAATTGTTCAAATAGAGATACAGGTGGACTCATTGCAACAATGAGATACACAAGACATTATGTCAAAAAACGAACTTTACAACTTTAGCCACAGGAGGTGGGGGAAGGGTGTTGATGGGGAGGGGCAGGGATGGTAAGGGGAAACAAAGGAGGAGGCAACAATGCTTGATAAGAAATGTGCTCATTACCTTGCCCATGTAATTGTAACCCCTCTGTACAGTATTCTCACAATAAAAAAAAACAAAACAGACTTGGCTCAAATGGAGATTAAACTCAGATCATGCCCATCTGATCTGCTTACAAGCAATGACAGGGAAATCAGGGCTGTGTTTTTGACAATGTCATTTTCTTTAAATTCTGAACTTTCCAGCAAAACCAAATGAACTTCTACTTGTTCTTATCATGAGTGAAAACAAAATTAACAGGGATGGCCCAGAGCGAACACACTGTAGGCAAAGCCCAAGCCCCCTTGCCTGGGAGGTGGCCTCCCGAGGGTGCAGCATACCTGTCATAAGGAACAGGAGTCCAGCCACGTGCTGGGTCAGGCTCTCCTCCCAGAAGAAGCTGACCGTGGCCACGATGCAGCCACACAGCAGGACAGCTACAGCCATGCCCAGGAAGCCAGCCGTGATTCTTCTTAAATCTAATCTCAAGAGAGAAACAGACATCCCAGATCAAAGGAACAGTCAGGAAAGTGACTAGCAATTATGGAACAAAGAAAGTGCTTTGCATGCATCCTGAAAATAAGTTACATGGACAGGAGTGGGGCCTACAGGGTGAGAGGTTTGGGAAATTCTCTTTCTAGGTATCTGTATCTGTGGGTGTCACAAAGGCAAGGGTCAAATCTACCTCCTGTGAATCTATGAGGAGAGTTTATAAAAAACAGAGCACACAGGGCACCACTGACTCACATCTGTAATCCTAGCTACTCAGGAAGATGCAATCAGAGGATTGTCAGAGCAATCTACAAGACAACCAGCAAAAACCAAAAAGTAAGCTGGATGCATGGCTTGTATGTAGAACACCCAGAAGGAAGGAGAAAGAAAAAGAAAGAAAGAAAGAAAGAAAGAAAGAAAGAAAGAAAGAAAGAAAGAAAGAAAGAAAGAAAGAAAGAAAGAAAGAAAGAAAGAAAGAACAAAAGAAAGGAAGGAAGGAAGGAAGGAAGGAAGGGAAAGAAAGAAGAAAGAAAGAAAGAGAAAGAAGAAGGAAAAAGAGAAAGAGAGAGGAAGAGAGAGAAAGAAAGAAAGGAAGAAATGAGGGAAGGAGGGAAGGAAAGGATGGAGGGAAGGAGGAAGGAAGGAAAGAAGAGAAGAAAGAGAGAGAGAGAGAAGTACCAATTCACCCAGGTTAAGGAGAGACTATTCCTCAAACAAGTGTCCACTACATGTTCAACTGTCAAAATTTGTTACCTAAATGCTATGATTGTATGATGTTTCTTTAAACACCAGATCCCAAACATATACCCATTGCCCCTAAGGCAACAGGTCTGAGCAAGATGCCTGGGGACTGTGAACATTGCCAAGCACGTGGGATCAAAGAAAGATGCACATGGAAGTGCAGGCTTCTCTATGAATGCAGAAGTGCCGTGTTGTCCTTGAATGTTTGCATAGCTCCTGGGCATCTCAGGGGTGCTGCAGAAGGGCGGATGGGTTATAGTAGCCACTCCTCTTGATCTTAGCCTATTAGTCACATGCAAACCATTCCTTTCCTTTCCTTTTCTTTTCTTTGTTGTTGTTCATAGGGCTTGAACACTGGGCCTGAGCACTGCCCCTCAGCTCTTCAGCTCAAGGCTAGTGCTCTACCACTTGAGTCACAGCACCACTCCCGGTTTTCTGGTGGTTGTTTGGAACCAGGCGCCAGTGGCTCACACCTGTAATCCTTGCTACTGAGGAGGCTGAGATCTGATCTGGATCATGGTTCAAAGCCAGCCCAGGCAGGAAAGTCTGTGAAACTCTTATCCCCAATAAACCACCAGAAAACCAGAAGTGGTGCTGTGGCTCAAGTGGTAGAGTGCTCACCTTGAGCTGAAGAGCTGAGGGACAGCACCCAGGCCCAGAGTTCAAAACCCATGACCGACCAAAAAAAAGGGGGGGAGGGTCTCAGACTTTCCTGTCCCGGCTGGCTTTGAACCATGATCTTTAGATCTCAGCCTCCTGAGTAGTTAGGTTTACAGGCGGAGCCACCAGCGCCCAGCAAACCATTCCTTTTCTTAAACTAGAGCATCCATATGAAAACCAAGTGTTTCTGCTTAGACAAGGAAATGTAAACTCCATAGAACAACCATCCAGAGATGAAAGATACTGAGTTTAATAGCAAGAGCATAATAGAAAATTAGAGATCTGCATATCTAAACAGCAGAGATGCAAAATAGCTCAGTTACTATTATTCTATAAACTCCCGAATGCCTGGGGCTTTGAGTGATAGTTGTACCTTCTATGATTACTGAAAGGCACAGGGTCAGTTTGACTTTCTTAGAAACAGTCATGTACAAAACTGCTATAAGCATCTTTTCACAAGAGCCCCTTCCCCACAATGCACACAGGTGCGTGTGCGCGAGCGCGCGCGCGCGCACACACACACACACACACACACACAAAGAGAATGTTCAAATATTGGTGTACGGGGCTAAAATAACAAGGTAAAAAGTTTTAGATTAAAGAGGTAAGGTTCTTTTTCAGGATCTTGTGATCATCCAGTATCTATGCAATTCATCTAGACAGATTATTAAGACAAATAACCCAAACATGCTCATAAAGAATTATGAAGTAGCCAGGCATGGTGATGTATGCCTATAATCCCAGTTTCCTGGAAGGCAGAGATAGGAGTATGGAAAATAGTGTGAGGCCAACCCAGGCAAAACATGAGACCTTATCTGGGGTGGGGGTGGGGGGACAAAAAGCCCTACCTAAAACAGAAGGTCTCAGGAATGGCTTGTGAGATGGATCCCTTGCAATCATGAGGCTCTGAATTCAATACTTAGCACTGCCCTCAAAAATTAGAAAGTGAAAGCACTTAGACATGACTTTAAATTAGATCTGCTGGGAAGTGGCTGCTAAAATCCGGCAGCAAGAACTCTCAGAGAGTCATGCTGTTTTATCCAATGACATTCCTAATTCTAAAGAATCAGAGAATTTGCATTGGACTACTGGCATGATACTGTCCACGTATGTGATCAGGATTCAAAATAGTTTTTGCTCTGCACAGCAATTCACTTATGAAGTGGAACTCTGCTTGTTCCTCTACAGTGGCTTTCACTACCACAAAACAAGATCGTTGGTCTTTGCTGTGCATTTCGTAGGGAAAATGCAAATATTGACCTCCGACTTGGGGAATACAGAAAAGAGTTCAGGGTCATGTTTTGCTTTTGCACGCTACCGGTCACCAGGCAGCTTGAATCAGCAGTTTCCAGGTAAATAGCCGTGTCATATCTCATGTTTCCCAACAGTGAAAAACAGCAGTTACCTCCATTGAGATGTACAGGTAATTGATACTCTTTGAGAATACTATGGCACATATTCATAAAAGAATTTCAGCAGAAATAGCAAGGTTTGAGATAAGCACAGATAAATATTACACGGACAAAACAAAAATAAGAGCACCTGGGGTGTAATCTCATTGGTTTCCTGAGACAAATGGTAGAACAGGTGTACATTCCCCACTCACCTGTACAGATTCTACCTGGAAAGACAGGCATACTGCACTGTCTCACAGAAACTCACACCTGGGTTTCCTATACTTGTCCAATAAACACATTTTGCCCATGGCATAGTGAAATGCTCTTCAAACTCTAACCAAATCAACTGCACCCAGGGGCTTGCACAGGATAAGTGTCTTTCCATCCAAAGAGTGATGGGTTTGGAAAGGCACCAGTTCCTCTCTGATCCTTTCCCAGAAATACTTACGAAGCAGGTGCCATTCATCTTGCTGTATTGTCTTAGTTAAATTGAATGGAATGTTTCGTAAGCGGATTGGCTGCGAAAAGTGGTACTTGATAGCTGTGCATCGCTGCGCAATACCTTGAAGGAAATAAGAAATACAATTTACTAGTCTAATCATTTGTAATAGAATTCTGGAGACCGAAGGCAGAATAATTTATCCTAAACTGGGCTGAAATGGAGAGGACATACGAATCTCTCGATTACTCTCATTAACAGAAGCCAGTCAGACTACTAAAGACCGAAAACATGAAATAGTTCTTTTTAAAAGAAAGCATGTTCTACTTTGAATGTTTGAAATTTTATAAGGATGTAGATGTTCCCCTAAATGCTTTCTACTACTCAGTATGGATGACTTAAACACAAAGCTACTTAAAGAGAAATGACCTATAAGTAGACAGATGGTTGGGAGAAATCAGCTTAGAATGTTAAACAAATACATAAATTATACTTCTGAATTTTATCTAGTCTTAAATTCTCAGATAGATTGCACAAAAAGTTCATTAGGAAGAGTGCTCTTTAGAAACCATAAGATACTTTTCCTAAAAGAATTGCTGCATGGTACCTTAGATAATATCATATCCCTAGACACAAACCTATTTTACCCTTGGACAGTTGATGTTATACCTTAATAGGAATGTTACTCACTTGGAATATGGATCTTAGGTGAAAGGGTAATATTGAAAGCAGAGAGAAGGAAAAAGTATCTTTTTCTCTCCTTAGCTGCTTGCATGACCAGCCCTAGGCTCTATACTATGATATAGTTAAATGTATCTATTGGTTTATTTTATATCCTGTCTGCCTCCTGACCCCTGCCCCATCTCAGACTACATGAATTAACATGAGCCTATTTTTCTTTTAAAGTCAAAGAACACTATCTGCCTTCTTTAAAAAATTCAATAACCAACAGTTTCCTTATTTCAATGTAAGCCTTGTAGGCCAGTTGTTTGGATAAATGCAGTCTTATTGCATTTACCTGACATTTTTTTTTGCCAGTCCTGGGTCTTGAACTCAGGGTCTTGGCACTGTCCCCAGGCTTCTTTTGCTCAAGGATAGCACTCTACCACTTGAGCCACAGTGCCACTTCCAGCTAAAGAATGGAACACAGGGCTTCATGAACGCTAGGCAAGCAATCTACCACTAAGCCACCTTCCCAACCCCATTTACCTGACTTTTAAAAAGGCAAGCGAATGTCAGTACTCTAACCCTGACAACTCTGCAGAAAAGTAGACTCATCAATGCAATTTCTATTTGGTAGAGTCTAAGTACACGTGTAAAGTGATTTAAAAAAATAAAACAATGAAAGGAGATTAAATTTTGAGCAGTTTACATCACAAGCCAGTCAATTCTTCCTGGGAATACAGAGAAGCATCTTCTACCGAGAGTTTTCTCAGACATCACTGTACATACGAATCACCTGGAGGGTGTGAAGAATATAAACTTCAAGGTCTTCCCCAGATAACTTAAATCAAAAGATTTGGATTGAGCCAAGAACCTGATGTTAAAAATTAAACATCTCAAGTGATCCTCAGTTCTGAGGCAAACATCCACTGAACCTCACATTGAGAAAAACTACCTGACAGTTTTGAAAGAATCGGATATTTTCATAAACTAATCTGATAGTTGGAATTCTCTAAAAACTCAACATTTTTCAGGTTTTTTTCTTTTGGTCTTGTCCCTCCCCCATGGTTATGAGATATAGGGTATATCTATCAGGTGTTTGCATCTAAGTTACATATGTAAGTCAGAAAATACCTAAGTTTACAAATGAGCAAATAGTTTGGTATGGGACCAATGGCAGATATGGACTGAAAACAGTTTTATAACTTCCATTTTTATTCTATAACATTTATTCTATAACATCTAACACTCATTCTCAGGTTGACCTTCAGAAATGGGAGGAAAAAAAGAAAGACATTTCAGTTAAACAAAAACTGGAAGAACTGATGAATATCAGACCATCCTTGCATAAAAGACTAAAGGGAATTCCTTCAACTGATATGAAATGATAGTAACTGAATCCACATAAAGAAAAAAAGAATATATTTAAACAAATAAACATAGAGACATGTGTTCATATTGTGTTTGTACATTTTCCTATATGATTTAAATGAAATAAAGAATAAAGAATAATTATGACTGTGTCAATACACATACACCCTACAGAGATATAATTTGACATTAACAGTTCAAGGCATAAAGAAAGAATGGAGCTATGTAGGCACATAGTTAGTATTAATACAAATTAGATTGTTTTAAACTGTGATGTCACTTTTAATTCACAGGATGACCACTTGGAAATTAACAAAAAAGATGGTGAAACAAAAAGAGAGCATTAGAATGTCCACTAAAAAATTATCTAGAAGGTAATAATGGAGAAATTGAGAAACAGATGCTAGAAGGCATCTAGAAAATAAATTTAGATACAATAGTTACCAGTCAAAAAGATGGAATGTAGTCATCACAGATAAAACAACATAATCTAAGTATATGATACCTACAAGAAATGTACTTTTTTTTTGTTGGTTGTGGGGCTTGAACTCAGGGTCTTAGCTCTGTCCCTGAGCCTCTCTGTGCTCAAGGCTAGCATTTTACCATTTGAGCCACAGCACCACTTCCAATTTTTGAGTGGCTAATTGGAGATAAAAGTTTCACATGGACTTTCCTGCCTGGGGTAGCTTTGAACCATGATCTTCAGATCTCAGTCTCCTCAGTAGCTATGGTTACAGAAGTGAGACACTAGTGTCAAGTGAGATATACTTTTGAAGAAAAAAATAGAGTGAAAGCAAAAGGATAGAACAGAATATGCAAATAAATAATAACAGAGATGGAATGTGTATACTGATATTGGATGCAACAAATTTTAAGATATAAATCATCACTTAGAGACAATGATACAGTAAGCCCACCTTATTTGCAGATTTATTACATGTAGTTTTGATCAAGCATGGTCAGAAGAAATAATAAATAGTCAGTCCCACTCCTGGGCATCTACCCAAACAATCACAAACAAGGACATGCTAAAGCTACCAGCACAACTACGTCCATTGCAGTATTATTTACACTAGCTAAATTATTGATGCCCACATGTCCCAGATGCCCTTAAGTATACGAATGGATCAAGAAAATGTAGTATATATACAAAAAGGAATTCTATGCTTCCATTAGAAATTATGACATCGCCCCATTCATAAGGAAATGGAAAGACTTGGAAAAATTTATATATGTGAAGTAAGCCAGACCCAAAGAAACATAGGCTCCACGGTTTCCCTCGTTTGTAATAATTAGTATATGTCTAGGATAGGCTTAGCAGAGGATCACACTAGCTCAATAGCTATGTACATATGATCGTATAAAATGATGCTAATCAAAATGAACTCCATGATATGGAAACAAGAGGATTTTGGGGGAAGGTTGTTTTTGCTTTTGTTTTTTTAATGTACTGTATGGTTATTTCTTTCCTTCATTTTTCCCCCTTTGGTTTATCCCCTGTTGTCACTGTTTGTTATTTTGGTACCCTTTGTCTTGTATGTATATTTACCTGATACGGGGAATGGAAGAGGAATAACAAAATGGTGAGACAAAGGACAAAGGGTGAACCAATGCAACAGCGATACTTACAAGACAATATATTGGAAGTGAACTTTACGATTTGGGGGGAGGGGAGGAGGGAAAGTGGGAGAAATTGAGGGAAGAGGTAACAATGTTCAACAAGAAATGTACTCATTACCTTAAGTAACTGTAATCCCTCTGTATATCACCCATACAATTAAATTAAATTAAAAAAGAAATTTCAAAAACATTTTTTTAATTTCTATGTGTACATGTGTCACAGCTCGGTGAATATGGAGCAGCTCTTATTTGGTCTCATGACCTTTTAATATTTTTAAAATCACTATATTGATGGGCTGGATGTTCCCTTACTCCAAATTTTGTGAAAATATGCTTTATGAGGTGAAGCAAATGATGCCCAAAAATATAATGATCTTAACTGATAGGGCAAAAAATTTAGAGCTGTCTTTAGCAGAAGTTGGGCAGCATTATGAGGGGGAAAATGAGTGAAGCACTTGCAGCACAATATTGAACTCAATGCACCCTGAGCAATCATGGTTTTACCTCAGCAGCAATCTCCTTGGAACCATATGCCTGGGGTGAGGATTGCTGTATTGTATAATGACAAAAAGCCCAAGATAAAATCATTGTAAACCTACGAGTACCTACCAACAGAGCCCCACAGTACATGAAAACACAAACAGCTGCAGGAAAAAGAAAACAGGCAATTGAAGACTAGAAGTTGGAGGATCCAATAACCTACTTTCAATAATGGTAGAACACAGAAACAGAAGACACAAATAACACTGTAAAGCCAAGTAAACAGAATTGGAATCTACAGAACACTCTACCCACAATGACATTTCTCAAGTGCACATAGAACATTCTTCATGTATGCACAATATATTAGGAAATAAACTAGCCAAGTGCCAGTGACTCACATCTGTAATCCTAGCTACTCAGGAGACTAATATCAGAGAATCATGGTTTGAAGCCAGACTGGTAGAAAAGTCTGCAAGACTCTATCTCATAAAAATTCAAGAATAAAGCCTGACTGCAGGCATGATTCACATGGTCAGCACCTGTTATGTACAAGAAAAAAAATGAGAAAAAGAAATAGAAGAGGAAGGAAACTTTTTAGTTCAGTCTATAAGTCTACAAAGCCAGTAGTCCTCTGAGACATGACAGGCAAAGTAAATTATACAATATTCTTTATGAATAAATATGCAAAAGTCCCTAACAAGCAAATTAAATTCAGCAATATTTAAAAAGCTATTTACCATGGCCAAGAAGGATTTATTTTAGAAATGTAAGAATGGCTCTATATATAAAGATCAATTAATGTTTCAGGCACTGGTGGCTCACTCCTGCAATCCTTGCTACTCAGGAGTTTGAAATCTGAGTATCAAAGTTCAGACCCAGCTTGGGCAGTAAAATCTGTGAGATTCTTAATCTCCAATTAGCCACCAAAAAAGCCAGAAATGATCTGGGGCTCAAGCAGTAGAGCACTAGCCTTGAGCAAAAAACTCAGGCACAGCAACTGGGCCCTGAGTTCAAACCCCAGGACTG